AGGGCAGAGGCGCGGGCAGAGCGGGGGCCGGCGCGGCCCGGGCTCTGCGCTGCAGGAGGCCCCTGGGGCTGGCTGCGGAGCCGGCAGCTTCCCGCGTGCGCGGGGGAGCCGGCCCGCCGGGCGCATCCCTCCTCTGGCCTCCCCACCGCTCCTCTCATCATGGACCCCCGGCTCCTGCTGGAAACGTTCACCCCTGAAACACGCAGGTCTGCAAAGAACCTGCCACGAGGTCTCAGAGAGGAGAGGGGTAAGGAGGCCCTAAGAGAACTGTTTTTCCTGCGTGCAGGGCTGAAAGGAGGACAACGCGCAGCGAGGATCCCTGCTCCGCGATGCACGTGGTCGCTCCCCTTGGACAGGGCCTCTCCCGGCGCTGCGGAGGCCTCTCCCTTGCCTTCCCCTACAGCAACAAACATCCTTGCTTCAGCCTCAGGGTGGAAACGTGGCCTTCCCCTGTTGCCTTGACACGAGGCAGAGGTGGCACTAGCAGGCACGGATCAGACCAGGGCTGCACGGAGGTTTTCCATGGAAAATGAGCCCTGTTCGTGCACGGCTCTGTGGTTCCTAGGCGCAGTCGTTACTGCTCCGCAAGGAGCCCAGAGCTGCTAACGCTCCCGGGAAGACGTAAACCTGCTTCCCGGCCCCTGTGCGAGGCTTGTCCACGAGCTTTCCCACAGCGCTGCCCTCTCCTGCGGCTTGGCAGGCCCCAGGGCCCCCGCGCGCCTCGTCACGGGACACGCGCGCTCGGGTCGGCAGCCTCCTGCGCGCAGGGTGCGTGCGGACGCTCCTTCCCTGCTCGGTTTCCTTTTTCTGAAAACACTGTTCCTTTGTACCCGGCAGCTTGGCAGCGTAAAAATAGAAAAATCACCACCGGAGTCTGTGGTATGGGATGTATTTTTAATACTGTTTTCATAATCGGTTTCCTTCTGAAAACACATTGTCTGTTCAAGGCAACCAAAATAATATGTCTTTTTTCTTTCCGTCATCTCTGTTAAAACTGATCCAGACGTGCCTTCACCAGCTGAATATTCCTTAGTGGTTTTACATTATAATTCAAGAAGCCAAGGCAACGCTGGCTAAAAGGCATATTTTTAAATAATGCATCATTTCATCTAGGGCTATAAAAAGAAACAAATGGAGCTTCCTCCAGTGGACCTGGAAGGAGGCTGCTGTGCACAATGTTGTGAGAAAGAGAAGACCAAAATCTCATATAATAATTAACACCTGCCCCGAAGAAGCCCAGCTCCACTACGTCTGTCAACCTCTCCAGATAAACCCCCCCCCCCGCCAAAAAACAAACAAGATATTCTGCTTCGTAAAAGTAGAAAAACAAAACAATCGTCTCAGAATGAGCAGGAACAAAGGCCCAAATTGCTGGGTCTAAAGGAACAGAAACATTCAAACCTTTTCTGTGCTGTCACCTTTTCTGTGTGTCACACAGTCACTAAAAGACTCGCATGTTCCTGCCCTGGATCATTCTGTCATAGATCCCCATGCGCCACCGCTCTGACAAGGAACCCTCATGGATTTGCCAAATTAATTTCATCACGTAATAGGAAGTAATGATATTAATAAGTTGCCAGGACAATGTCCAAAGGCCAGGGTGTTTTCGGCCCCGTGCATGAAGGAAGAGGAAGGCACAGGGTGCGGATTAGCGTGACCTCTCCCATCTTGCAGCCTAAGCAGGACTCCGCACGTGGCCGGAAAGAGCCAAGTGATCCCAGCAGTGGTGGAACCACCGAAACACGGAGCCTGGCGGGTCTGCTGAAGCCAGTAAATGAAATGGAAAGAAAGAAAGGAAAGGACAGCACACCGCACACAGCTCCGCAGAACGGGCAGGCGGCAGGACCGCCTCCACAGATGGTCTTTTCCTGGAAGTCTGCAGTTCAGGCACGCGTAGAGAATCGCCACACACCGCTGAGCATCGCCATGTACTGCCTGGCACCGCCGCGCACGGCCATGCACTGCCACGCACTGCCACGCACGGCCATGCATCCCCACGCATCCCCACGCATCGCCCCGCGCTGGAGCCGCATTATTCATTGCTGGCCCGGTCCAGGACACTGTCCCGGGGCCAGGGCTCCCCGCAGCCTCCGCGCCGAGGAAGACTCCACAGGGAAGCAGCGTCCGCGCAGGAAGAGGCCTCTCTTGGCATCCCCCTCACTTCGCCCCGGACTCCAAATCCCCGCTCGAATCCCGAGGCCTCTCAGGACACGGGCGGTGGGGAGCCGAGCCGAGCCGAGCCGAACGGAGCCGTGTTCTGCTCACCTTGATCCTCTCCACGGCCGCCTCCAGCTTGAGCTGCTCCACGAGGCGCTGCATGGTGCCCAGGCTGCCTCCGGAGGACATCCCGGCGCGGGAGGCAGGAGAGCGGGCAGCGGGAAGCAGCGAGGCGGGGAAGGCGGAGCAGGGAAGGAGGAGGCAGGGAGCAGGGAGGGCGGCGCGGGGCAGGGGAGGAGCCGCGCAGCGCTGCCCACAGGCAGAAACGCGCACCACGAGACGGAGACACCCCGGAAAGAGAGAAAACCCCTCTTTTCCGGGGGTTGGGGTGCGCTGGCCTGCTCAAGGCTCAGCGGGAAGGCGCTGCCGCCTGGAGGAAAAGAGAAGGAGAGGCCCCAGCACCCACGTAGCCCCTGGTGGCCCTGGCAAAAGCTCAAGCCGTCTCTGGAAATCCTCGTGGATAAACGGAAAAAGACCGTGATGTGTCTTCTGCGCATGGAGTAAGGGGTGCCTTGAGTGCACACTCACCCCTGACAGCAGGGGTATGCACGGAAACCGACCACCACCATCCTTAGGAAAACGTCGGTAGGAGAGGTGGTGGCGGGAGGCGTTTCTTTTCTGGTATTCCACTATCTTGGCATCCTTTGTTTCACCCAGAAGTGTCATTTCTGTCCTTTGACACCAGCCTGTTTACACAAGCAGTTTCCAGCCCCACAACGTGGTTTGGTTATGGCATGTTCACAGCTCCCTGCAGTGCTACCCCCTGTATTTTTTCTTCCTTAGCGTTGTCTTGTGGACCTTATTTCAAGACAAGACAGACTTAAAAAAATATACACAGAAGACAAGCATTAGTTTTAACTAAAACAAGCTGTTCATTTTGAAGCGCTTAAGCAATCTGAGCTAATGAAGTGTCACTGCAGAAAAGCTGCTCTGTAGAAGAGATTTGTTACTTCTATCTCCATCGTGGAGGCACGACTGCAGCGCAGTAACACAGTAACGCAGCCCTTGAATTTGAGCCCACGTTTGGGTATTTTCAAAGGATTCACACAGGGAGAAAAACAGAAACTCCGGGCTCCCGCTGCAGGGTAGCTCATTCCCACTAACGGCGCACACACCTGCGCCTTCTTTGCGCCTCTGCTCATGGTCAGGCCGTAGCCGGACGAGCGCAGGACGTTGCTGCCCCGCTGCGTCCTTGTGAAGCGGTGGCCCTGGAGGCGGACGGTGTTCTACCTAGGAAAGAGCGGGCAGCGCACGCGGTGCTTTACCCGGAGAGCAGCTGGTAAGCGGTGCCGCTGCCCCGCAGGTACCTCGCACAGCTTCCGCCCCCCCGGGCGCTGCGCTGACCTCCAAACATGTAACCAGCTAGGTTTATCACCACCCTGCCCAGCAGCAGAGACGGAGGAGCAGATCCAGCCATTCCTTTTGAACTCTGAAGATCCACAACTAACTTAACCGCGTAGCACAACAGCCCTCGAACACTTCAGTATGCATTCACTGTTATTTCAAACAGAAAACTGAGGCAGTGCTGAAAGAATTAGTGAAAGACGAACTAGCAAAAAAGACAAATTCGAGTTCTATATTATAATAAACTTTTATTTACATAAGGCATCAAAATTGCCCTTTTAAAGAAAAGGGTCATTTTCCCTTTACCAATACTTTGGTGAAAAAAATGTCACATTTAATAAACTAATGTTCACTGGTACTCTTGTTCTGAACAAGTAGGTACAATCCAAAGTACAAGATTAAAAACAAATATTTAAGCATACTACTTCATTATCACTCTGTAGAACAAAGAATTAAGGCTTGCTTGCATCACAATGATGATCCGTCATGCATCATTTATTCCCACAAAAAAATAAAATTAAAAATTCCAATTGGACCAGGGATAGCTGAAGAGAAAGTTTATAATCCCCAACCTATAGGTATAATCCCCATACTGTAGGTATAATCCCCATACTGAAGTCTACATCAAAAATACAATTTGGCATTTCAGAAATTGAGAAGTAGGGAAAAGAGGAAGGCAGGAAATGTCCCTTGCTTCAGAGCCTTTTGGACATTTCCAAATTCCCAGTGTCCATTTGCAGAATTACTTCATTTTTGAAAAGGAAAACAAGGACTTCCAAGGATTGATCTGAAACAGTTCATGAAAGATGAAAGTTACAGTTCCATTGATCATGAATATGAAATATGTAGGGGAAAATATATCTGAAAAAACAAATTCCACATCACAGATCCACTCTGATATCCCCAAGTGGAATATATACATTGAGCTAAGCCTGTTCAACAGATCTGATTTATAAAAATGGTAAACCTGTATTATTTTTCGGCCTGATTTAATAATTCCTGAGTTTTAGATCACTGCCATGCCTTAGCAGATAAAACTCTGAATAATGTAGTGAAAAAGCTTTGCAAATCAGTTTCCACATTAGTGTACATTCTTGTCAGGTTTCAGTCATCAATAAAAGTTAGTCTTCCAGGTCCTTCATTTCTCATCCATCTCCGGTATCTTTTCCATCGTGGATCCATGGCCATCTTCTTTTTTAACTCCTCCTCTTGTTCTTGTTTGTACACCTGACAAGCAGACAAGATTTTCAAATAAGGCTGAAGAAACATTTCAAGTGAACCAACCTGAACGCAGGTGTAAGAGTTGATGGTTCCACTATTTCCAACTTATTGATTTTAAGGAACACTGAATTGCATGACTGTCAGAGCTGGACTAACAAGCAGTGTAAGACTGCCTTCAGCCAAAATGCTGGGACACTTTAAACATTTCTGCTGACAGTAGAACTCATTATTTGAAGACTGTACTGTAAGCACTGACAATTTTTCACTAAAGGTTTATGGTACAGGTTTATAAGTATCAGTATCTTCTGAACTCTTCCTGTAAGGGAATTAAGATTATGCCATGCAAGAAAAACTTTTTTTTTTTTTTTTTAATATTAGAGGCAGCTTTACCTAATCACCAGTTTTCAAATAGGCATATGTATTGTAAGAATTATTAGGAAAATAGCAGAAGAAAAACAGAAACCAGTGTTTTATTATAGAATGCTATGCTGTGTCTGTGTACCAAGTTTTTGGTCTTTCCCATCCCAAAAAAGGGTACTGTAAAGCTGAACAGTATGTAGACAGAAAACCGCAATGATCAGAACTACAAGGAAGCTTAGAAACAAATGCATACACACAAAAACAAAAAAGCTTTTCAGCATAGAAAAGACATGAATAAATATAGGATAAATAAGGATACGGTACTGCTCAGGAGAAGCACAGCTAGTGTAAGAAAATAGAATGAACAGAATTCTCCTCCTTTAACACAAAAACTGGACAGTGAATGGATTTTTGAATACTCCAAGTTTTAATGGGTTCACAAAGCAATCACATATGTTTACTAAAGCAAATTCACTAAGACTGTCTATTTCCTAGAAAGACACCATTTCATGTTTAGGAGTACCCAGAGCTGCAGACTGTACTGGATAAGTACTGCTGTGTAGGTGCCAGATCTCTTCCCTGGTCCGTACAGCTTTTTTATATTCAGTGTTCAAAACAACACTAGAAACAGTGTACATCCTAACACTATCCTAATTTCTTCTCACAACAGAAAATCCATTTTGACATCTGCTTTGCCTGGTAACATCACTAAACCTTTGGACTTTTATCTTGTCTTCCAGAAAGCCCACTGTAACTCATGCTTATTTATCTGTTGGCTGATCCCTCACCTACGTTATCCATGTGACTTCTCTCCCTTCAGGTTTCTGAAAGAATCCACCTCACCTCTCCCTGTTTTTCCCCTCTCATCTTTCCTGCTCTTCAACAGCAGAAAAACAGCTCTGCTGCCACCACTGCAGATGCACAGCAGCAAAGTCTCCTCCTTCCCTCAAGGCATCCAATTTCCTATTCACAGCTTCTTTTCCAGAAGCCGCCCATCCATACAGCCTAGAGAGGAGCTTCACTGCTCTCAGGAACAATAAAAGCACTTTGTCAATTTACCAACCCCAGGCATCCCAGATCACTCTCAAATGCAAATTTCATAGTGTGGATAATATTCTTTTAATGTCTCACAGGAAACTTAAAAAAAAGCCCTTACAGCTTGGCTACCAAGTGGGTACCTTCCACAAAGTGGCAGTTGTGTCTTATCATATTCTACATATATAAAATCTTTGCTTGAATAAACACAAAGCACAGCAAGAACAACGCCTGAATCACTCACTAAAAGCAAAGCGCAAATAGCAAGTTGGGAAAGAATGGTTGAGGAGACGGAAACTGGAGTTTCAGATGATCTGGGTAAATTTCAATGAGAATTATTACTGCTTGGAGGATCTACGTTCTGCACTTTAGCATACTCTTCATCATACCCCAATGTCACAAGAGATTCTTTTATAAGATTCAATTTTGAATCAACAGATATCCTGGAAATTAAGTATGGATGATCTCTGACTAAGCAAATCCTCCCTGCAGCCACTTTGAGAAGACTAGATAACTAACATCACTTCTTACCACAGCTACTCACCTCATAGTTCTCTCGTATCCACAGCTGCCGCTCAAGGAAGGTCTCTTTTTGATGATCTTCTAGGCTGTCAAACTGAGACTGTGACATTTTCATGTATCTCCGTATGATATAGAGCTTCTCTTCCTTACCATATTCCTGCCCTTTAATAGTGAAACAATAAATCCACCAACAGTACCAAACTAGGTATTTGCACAAATAAAAAGGAGCAAGAAGGATTTGAAACAGAAGGATATCATATATCTTGGGCTTCTGGTAACCGCCTTTTATATCTATTTTATTTTTGATAATGTCTTTGATGATTTCTTCCTCTTCTTCACGGATTTCTTCCTTAGATCGCCTGTTTTTGCCTTTCTCTTTAGTCCTGTTGAGTAAACCTTGTTGCCTGGCAATCTCAGTAGCTTGTATGCGATATTTTGGCACTGTCGCTAGGTAGTTGATAGCTTCATTATAACTACTCCACCAGCTGAAGAACTGTAGTATAAGAACAGCAAAAATAAAACATTTTGTACATACGCATACTTTATTCCTATCAGAAGTTTAGGCAGAAAAGCAAAAACAAACAAGACATGCTCTGTTATATACCTTTAGCCACTGATCATATTATTAGAAGAGTAAGAAAAGAAGGTAGTAGTTAGCACTTCTGCAGTATCACACAAACTAGTTAGAGTTATTTCTCCAAACTTGGTAAGGTACCTATGGTAAGTAGGAAATAGCCATATAGATCAAATAGCAATGGATAGTGATTAAAGTAAGGAAGAGGTGAAAGATGCTGTTCAACCATTTCCTAACGAACAAAAACAGTTTATCTCCTATTACTCTAAATAAGGCTTATACTAGACTATGCCAGACACTCCCTAAGTCCCTTTAGATTTATTTATAAATTAGCCAGGTGATAAAAGCTCTCACACTTTGATCCAGAAGTGGCAAGATTTGTTTTCGTATTCGTATTTTTTTACTTCCCAATAACCTATGTTTACTTACCAAAAATGCCTCTGTACCACAGAATAATACATTTGTTTCTACAGCTCTTAAATATGATCTTTTGTTTTGTATAAGGAAACTGTTAAATACTATGTTTAATGGGTACTAAAGAAAATATCTATATAGTTTCTTCCACCTAATAATTGTCAGTAAGATCACCAGCGTTATCAGAATACAAATTGCTTTCTCGAGCTTGTAAATATCGTCTTCAGAATGAACTTCATTGAACCAAATTCAGTCATTCTCCCTGTGGTTTTTAAAATAAACTACAATGTAAGATAAACATTTTAAAAAACCACAATCCCAACATTCAGCTGTATGATCACCATCTAGCTGTGAATGTAGTATCAAATTAGTCTTTGCTTTTTTATTTTTTAAAAAGTCATGCAGTTAAAAAAACTAAATCACGCTAATTTGGGACTTTAGTCTTGATTATGCTGAGGCACAGGCTTTTCACAACCTGTCACTCAGAACTAAACCATTTCTTCAGGAGTGCAGGAGTTTTCTGTTTGAAACACTCTAGCACCAAAGAAACTGGTTACACAGCCTGTGCCTTTGTCCAAAGTCAGGCAAGATCTTCTTGGTACATCCTGACTTCAGGTTTGTTATGGATACCACAGAAAAGTTTACCACAGCAGACAGAGAACAGTCCTACTGTTTACAACCCGGCAGGTTATGAGATTGGTGCATACTTCTCTTCAGCTCAGAACCTCACCGAGCAGCACAACATATGGGGAAGAGTTTTACCTGAAACACGGAGATGGCACACACTGTAACCAGGATCACTATTCTGACATCCACTTTTGGTGCCAGCCTTCTGCTGTAGTAGTGATAATAGTGCCTGTAATATTCCTCAGGATGATCCAGCATATAATCATAATCTTTACGTGTTTCTTCATCCTGCAAAGACAGAGATGAAAAAAAAAAACACACAATGATTCAGATTCATATTTTCACTGAGTCACATCCATGTTTTACACCTCATTAATAACCAAGCTGTTATGAAGTCTGCAACAGCTTGATTTAAACAATTACATCAAAAGCATGCAATAATACAGTTTTCAAGTCCCTTATCAACGTGATCTTAGTTGACACGCTCTGAGCAGAGGATTGGAGTAGAGACCTACAGAGCTGCCTTCCAATCCAAATTATTCTAAGATTCTGTGACATACAGAGGAAATTCTTTGGACCTTCCCTTGTTTTCTGGCACCCTACATTAACTAACTCCAACACTCATCCACCCAAAAAAAAATGACAGATGACTTAACTACATATGTGTACACTGCATAAAGATATTTAATAATGAAATAAAGCAGGAAACTGAAATTCAAAATAAGCACTTTTAGCATCAGAATTGGAATTCCAAATGGATTCTCTTAGAAAAAAAAATCAGATGAACACTATTGAAATCCTGTTTTTCAAATCTTTTAGAATTGGAATCCAGAGCTTACAGGGCTCTGGAATCTGCCCAATGGAAGGCTATTTCAAAACTTCATTGTTCTCCTTTTCTTGACGTTCTTTTTTTAATTAAGAAATGAGAAATGCAGTTTTATCAGCCATGATTATATCCTGTTTCTAGTCCAAAAGAAGGTTGTTTTTTCTTCTCTTCAGCCTTAACACACTTGAAGGTTTGTTTCTTCCACTCCTTAGCTGTGCCTTTGCCAAGCCACATGTATTTTGCCATGATAAGCTTTCTTTACAGATCCCTTAATCCACTTAATTCACTTACTATTTAAAGGTAAATCTCTGAAAAACTCTGGTCAATTTATTTTAAATACATATTTTTTAAAGCATCTTCTCCCACACTCTTGAATTGGCTACTGAAAAATGTTCTTTTTTCCTCTACCTACCTCACTGCTTGTAAAGGACAAGCTGGCTAAGCTCACATAAAGAAAGGAAAAAAATATTTGGTACAATCTGTTGCAAATGCACAAATGTTAATACAAAAGATCTGATTTTTCCCCCCTACACAGGGACAAGAAGCCAGTGAGATTCTCACAGTGTGAATTAAACAAGTCAGGGAGAATCCTGATTTTTAGACTGAGTCTGTTGATGTACATGTCAAATCTAGATGGAGCAGATGAGAAGCTGCCACAGAAGAGGTAGAGGAAATCATACACCTCTCAACATTTTCCCAAACACCAGTTTTCTTGTGGCAACATACTGGCTCCCAACTTTGCTACCCACTATTACATGTAAATGCTTGCAAATTTAAGAGGTACAGTTTAAAATCTGATAAAAAAGGGGGAGGGGATACAAATAGACTCCAGTATAGTACACCAAGAGCAGCAGTATTTTACTATTTGCAGACCACTTTCCTATTTCTGAGCTATTTGCCAGGTCGAGCCCGCTGGCCCAGGTGCACTGCTTCAACGCCCTTTGGAAAGGGAGAAGGAGCACGTGAGGGCGGCAGGAGCGCATGCGAGTAAGAGACGGGCAGCAAGGAGAGCCCGCGAGGGCTTGCGGGGCTCTCAGCGGTGCCACCGGAGGAAGCAGGAGACGGCGAGGGGCTCCCCACCCGGAGACACTCCTTATTTCCTGTTGCTTCCCTTGGCACCTTCCTGTCCCTGTTCCCTGTGTGCAGCAACCAAGGGGCAGCGCCCGCTCGGGCGCTCCG